ACCATTAATTTTTACACCCAAGCCATCTGTCTACTCAATCCTAGACCATGAAAGAAGGTTCTGCAACAACAGCAGCACACATCTTGCTGTTAACCACTCTGTGCTAAACACATGGTGTGCCAAGACCAGTGCTGCCAGATCCCACTGTTCTTTACCTCCTTCTGATGGATCTCTCTTACCTCAGGGTCCTCCATATCCATCTGGTTTAAGTGGATATCTGATGTTGTGAGCCACTGGAAAAGCACATCCTGGGGAAGGGCAAAACTCAGTTACTTTCAGGAGGACACAAGTAATCTCATACTATGCTTAAATATTCATTAAATATATTAACTAACATACTATGAAAAATACTAAAAATAAGATAATAAATCAAAGACTATTTGTTAGGATTGGCTTAGACTCCTCATACTGAATCCACTTCATAGCTGTCTTGCTCTAAAATGAAGCTGAGCCTGGAGAGCTTTGCAAATGTTGTGAAGATCCAACAGGGTGTTTTTAAAGGAAAAAAACCAAAAAAAAAAACTCCAAAAAAACTCCAACTTACCATGATCTTACCATTTTCTTCTTTATCTAAATACTGGTCATTGAACATGTGGGAAGATCCCAGGGCTGCCATCTTTCCACCTTTAGTCTACCAATAAAGAATACAATATAGCAAAAATTCCTTCCAAATCACAGTTTCAGAGGCAACTGTTATTGCAATGCATTACTTGTCTACATAGTAAAAAACTGTGTTAACTTGTTCATGTTTATTAACAATATCAATCCCGTGCTTGTAACTCTTTACTACTAAATTTCTGGATTTATTTTTATAAAGTAACAGGGCTGGATGAGTAAAACAACATATGAAAAATCCACTGGTTCCAAGGTGAGAGGCCTCTTCTTTAATTTAATATGCTGTACTTACAAAGCTAAGGATAATCGTATTTAATAAATTATTACTAAAACAGCAGAAAAAACCCTGAAATTTTGAAGAATTAAAGCTATCCACCAGTCAACTAAAAAATATGTAATCTTTGCTGTCCACATCATTAATTCTCCTCTGAAATCCATGCAAAGAAGTTTACCATAAAAAAAGTCAGGAGTCACTAGGCTCATCTGGAGTTTGCAGATGCATCAAAAACTGAGTGGGTTTGTAAGTATCCCCAAAAGATCCACTCACAATTTTTGTGTGGGGCAGGGGAATGCAGGGAGTGCCCCAGGCAGCTCATACCTCATGCTGATAGAAAGCCAGGATAGGCCTGTTGAGGGGGAAGCACACAGACCCCGTGGACAGAATTGCCACTGCTGGCTTCATCACATTCAGTGTGGCTCCAAAAGGATAAACAAAGCTGAGGGCTCTGCAGGAAATACAGAAATTCCATAAGCACCTGCATGCACCAGGCAGGCTGCACAGATTTACAGAACTCAAACTGAAACCCACAGACTAGAGGCAAAAATCCAGATCTGGTCATGAGAACAGTAATGCCTTTCCAAACCTATCCCTCCTGCTCCTTCAGAGGTTACCAAAACATCTACTGAACAGATTCTCCTTTCCAAATATAACCTAAGAAGCATATGAACATAAGAAATGCATTAGGAAACCTCACCATAAGCACAGTGCACTGCTGCTAATCACAAACCTGCCAGCTCTGAGGTCTTCTACATATTTTCACATCAGTTTCCTCAGAGAAAACACTTACTGTGAGTCATGGCCCCTTCCATCTTCATCTGTTGTATCAAGCACTGTTTTCTTTGCAGCTTCACTGATTCCCCTATGAGATATGGAAAAACAAACCTTACTGAAAACAATCCAGATTACAAGGCTTTACTGTGAAGATTCACATACCCCAAATATACCTGTTCAAAACTCCATCAGAGATTAGTGCTTCTTTTGGGTGGTAGTACTTGTAATACACATTTCGTACTACAGCATCTTGAAAAAAGAAAAAAATACAGAAATTTACATCAGCTGATCAGTGTGTTAGATTTAATAAACAAAAATTAGTTTAGCTCTTGGATTCCCTGGGTGTTTGCTTCTAACACCACAAAGCTGGCATTTGGCTACTAAAAGAATTGAAATCAGCCTTCACTACTGTTTCCTTTTGGACAGAATAGATTTAGGATAGGAATATTTTTGAAAATTCAAATAAAAATACAAAAAGTTAAGCACATCACCATCTTCTGCAAAGCAAAAGAGACAAAAAGATGATCCAGTTAAAACAATCTGTATCAATTTTTACAACTCTATTTTTTCATACATCTTCCAAACACTTGATGAATTGAATCTTATTGATGCAAAAAAAGGCAGTCTAGAAAAGCCACCAAAAACCTCAAATATTTTATGTACACTGAGACACACTTGTCTTGGGTTGTTGGGGTTTTTTTCACACTGGCAGCAAAAAACTAATGAATGATATTCTATTGGTCTGCTAAAGAAAAGTGCCACTTCTTATTCAGGGTGAGCATTAAGTGATTCAATCCTTTAAAATGTGTGGAAAATGTTTTAAATTAAGGGCTTTTTAACCAAGAAATTTCCCTAGATTATTTTTTTTTAGTATATTGAAACTAACAACGACAGCAAAGGAGTGGAAATGGCTAAGCTGTCCATATACTCTGTCCATGGAAAGCCTTTGCTGTGCTCCAATATCACCTTGCATTGGGCATGCAGATTTAGAGAAAAAAAATCTTTTAGATCAAAAGATACTTTGTGAGAAAGATCTCCTTGTATCCACAAAGGCTGAACCTGCTTTTTTAATTTTGCTGCAAATTGATGACTAAAGGTAGCAGTGAGCCCCATTACCATTATTGAAAATGATTCCATATTCTTCTAACAAAAAATTAATATTTGTGCCATTCCGGGACTCTCCACCTTCTCTCAGCATCACCAGGATAGCCCCACCATCCTCCAGGAATTTCTTCAGAACAGAAAACTAGAAATCAACAAAGATACAGAGAAAAAAACAAAAGCAAACATGAGAAGCTACATACAAAACTGCACGAAGTTACACTGAGTTGAGGGGAGAGAAATTATTTTGACTGCTTGCATTTAACTTGATCCTATAAGAAAAACATTCAAATTCCAATTTATATGAATTCATTTAAAGCAGCATTACAGCGAAGACTTCTGTCTTGTTCTTTTCTACTTAAGCAAATTTTAAAGCATAATTAACTTGAAAACAATTATTGACTTCTTACCTCATCAGCACTGAACTTCTCTCTTGGTCCTGCTGTAATCCACAATTTCACCCCAATCAGTCTCTCAGATGTGATCTCATCTTTTAAGCTATGAATAAATTAATAAAGACATGCTTTATTCTTGGATATAGTCCTGAACCACAACTTTTTCCTTTTTTTTTTTTTTTTTTTTTTTTTATATAGAACTGGCAAATGAACACAAAGCAAATCACTTCAGTCACTTTGCATCCTTTTATCTAGGTTTAAAGTTGACAGCTTGAGCAAAAATAATCCTTAGAAATGTCAACCAGCTAAATAGAAACGCTCCTCTGACAAGGCACTGTGGCAGATCCAGCCAGAACTGCTGCAAGCTGTCACAGCTGCTATTAAACTTTACACCTGAGGAGCTTCTGATTATTTTTCTTTCTTTTCTTTCTGGTCTGGCCACATTTCATAGAATGAGTTGGAAGGGACGCACTGGGATCATGGAGCCCAGCCCTGGCCCTGCCCAGACCCCCCAACAACCCCACCCTGGGCATCCCTGGCAGCGCTGTCCAAACGCTCCTGGAGCTCTGGCAGCCTCGGGGCCGTGCCCATTCCCTGGGGAGCCTGGCCAGTGCCAGCACCTCTGGGGAAGAACCTTGCCCTGAAATCCTCTCCCGAAAGCTCCATGCCGTGCCATTTTGCAGCGCTCAGATAAACAGTACCATCTACAAGAGCCCTGCTTTCTTTTTGTCCCAAACTCCAAACCGAGCCAGACTCACAAATCTGCATGAGGAGCTTCATCCTTACAACTTGCACTCCATCTCCACAGGTGAGCTGGAGCTCCGAAGAACCACGCACAGCATCCCGCAGCGGCAGAAGATGCAACAGGGCGCAATCAAGGCGACAGAGCGACCTCAGCTCACGAGAGACATCCCCAAAGGCCACTCGGGTACCACACACCCCCGCCGGGGCCTCTCCGCGCCCCGAGCGCCGCCCCTCACCTCAGCACCTTCCAGCTGCCGCGCAGCCGCTTCCGCAGGGCCTTGTAGCCGCCGGCCGGCGTGAAGCTCTCGCCCTTGGAGGCGTTGAACACTATGGCATTGCGCGGGCCGCTCTCCATAGGCTCCCCCGGGGCTGCCGGAGGGCTCTGGGGAGCAGCGGGCAAGCGCCAGCGCTCCGGCCGCCCGCGGGTCCCCACCGTGTCCCCGCCGTGCCGCCGTCACCACGCGCGCCCTAGCAACGCTCCGGCCGGACGCATGCGCGGGTGGAGTTCCCACCTCCCCCCCGAGTGCAGAGGTCAGCGCAGTGGTTCGCTCCACTCCCCTCCAGGGAAAGGGGCGGGGCGCTACCACTGCGGAGGGCGGGGGGGTGTGACGGGGCGGGGACAGGGCTGCGCGCTCCCGGCCGCCCTCAGCCGGGCCCTTGTCCCCAGCCCACGCCTGGCAGGGCCGGACGCAGTCCCGCTGGCCTGAAGCCGCTCCTGACGTTCCTGGGCCTTCGAGTTTGCTCGTGACTAAAATCCCAATCCTGACAACTGCACGTTCGTCCCTGTGAGGGGGGGGGGGCAGGCCGTGGCTCAGAGTGCCCACAGAAGCTGTGGCTGCCCCTGGATCCATGGAAGGGTCCAAGGCCAGGATGGATGGGGCTTGGAGCAAACTGGGAGAGTAGAAGGGATCCTCACCCATAACGTTTAAGATCCTCAACCCTTCCATGATTCTGTGATCATCTTAAATGAGGGAATTCCTCTTTAATTTAAACGCAGCAGTGTTAGTGACTCTGCATGCAGCGTCATGCTCTCAGGCCCAGCACAGAGCAAACACCCTCCTTCCACTCTTAACCAGGACAATCAGAGAAGCACATCAGTGTTTACAACTTTAATATAAACCACGTCATACTTCCAATGACTTCAGCATGTACAAGATAGAGCCTGATTAAAAAAAAAAACCAAAACACGGTTGTACCAGCGCAAGGTTCCCCACAGCATGAGCATCACACAACTTTTAGGCAGCCCCTTGTTTATCCCCGTGTTGCTCTGAGCCCCCTGTCCTCCCCACAGCAACAGCACACAACAGCTTAAAAAAAATATGTGGGAAGTGACATTCAATGAATACACCAGCACTTAAATTAAGGCAGAATAAATAACTGTTCCACATCAGTGATGGGCATTTTCAGGTGAGTGCTGGAGCCTGGTCAGCACTCGCTGTTCACTGCCCTGTGCTCATCACAGTAAGTGCTGGTGTGCCTGAGGCAAGTCAAGCACACACTGTGAAAGCACCCCCCAACCCCAAGCAGAGGCCAGCTATAAAGTTATTTCCATTTTTTCCAAGCAACTCAGCTCCCTTCCCCAGCCCCTTTTTGATCTGGGATTTTCCTCGTACACATTGGCTCCTCTGTCACAGCCTCATTGTGGCTTCAGTAGCATCCCAATCCTGGACCAGACAGATGATCATCTCACTTTGAGGCAGATCAGGCTGGCATGAAAGACCACAGTGCAGTTCAGGATTTACAGGTCTGCAGATGCCTTTGGAGCAATAAATGATCAGCAGTTTTTTACTCAGCCCAGGATGAGCAGCTTGAGTTGACAGAGTTCACCTAAAGGAAGGAAGCCACTGTTCATGGTGATATGAAGAGTCTCCTTTCCTGTTGAGGGCTTGGGAAAGACATTGGACATAGCTGACCATAGTTTCACAAAAAAAAAAAAAAAATTAAAAAAGTGTCCAGTTACAGGGACATGGCTGTTGATGTGAATAATGGCACATGCCTCAACCATAGATACAGCCACAGAGTGAATGCAATTCTGCCAAGCAGCACAAGACACTCGGGGAAAATCATAGTCAGTGTCCCACTTTCCCTGGCAGGAAAATATTCATTTAGGGAGAAAATCCACCTAACAGCAAAAATTAAGATCTGTGTTCCATCCCAGCCAGTTAGTGTGTTAGTGCCAATTTCCTTAAACCATGAGCAAAGGATAGTACCAATCCTCTCAAAAGGAAAAACAAAACAAAAACATAAAACCCATTCATTTAAAATATGGCTTCACAAAGCCGTTATAAAACTTAAATGTCCTCTTCAGTTGGTGCATATGAAAATCCTAAAAATGCATCTGAGGCACTGGAGCTGCTGGCTGCTAGCTCAGGTGTGCGGGTGATGGAGGCAGAGATGGCTTCTTGGGTGAACTCAGGATCAAAGTGTCGCAGATCAGCTGGGCCAGCCTAACCAAGGAGCAGAGACACAATCGTTGGGTGAGCAGACCCAAACCAGACCCTTGTGTTCAGGCAGTCCAACACAGCTGCTCTTCCAAAAGAGCCACCACCTGCATCCACAGGTCCCAACCCACCCCTCAAAATCCTCAGTGTCACCATGAGGCATCTGGAGAGAATCCCTTGTGTAAAACAGACAGAATTACCCACTTACCACATTGGGGTTGAATGGAGGAGTAATCCTCTTGTGATATAAATCATCCCAGTTTATTGGGCTGAAGAATACGTGGTTCTTTATTTCAAGCTGTACAGAAAGCAGGAAGGAAAAGTCAGTCTTCTGCCAACCCTCCTTTTCCAGCACCTGATCTGACAGCTCTAAGTGGCTGAAGAAAGACTTGAAGTTACCACATACCCATATCCACAAATCCTTAATACACTGGGGTCCTAGTCCAGGAATGCCCTGAAGGGAAATGACCCATCACACACTGGTGTCCTTAGCTGGCCCCCACCCCTCTCCCTTTGGAAATCCAAGTCAACCCCATGTATCCCTTGTAGGAGGCTGAAGGGACAGACTGTGTGGGAAGGTTTTTTCCAAGGCAGTGCTGTTATGAAAGAAATGCTCAGAATAGAAATTTTCCTCTCCATCCTCCCTCCCTCCTGCTCATAGTGAAGGCCACCTACAAAGTCTGTTTTGGCACCCAGCCTCCTCTTCTGGTCCTTGTGGAGAAGTCCCTGAAGGATGTCACAAGCTGCCACAGTTTTGGTTCCTTGGATCTGTAGTGGCTTGTGCAGAATGTTGTCATACATCTGAGACACATCCCGGCTGTAAAAAGGAGGCTAATTTGAAAGAGAGGAGAAGCAGCCAGGTAAAACATGAGCTACCCAAAGGAGTGACACATTGCAGGTCAAAACAGGTCCTGCAGTGAATAAATGAGGGAGACCTGCCACACCTCTCATCAAAAGGGCAGTGGTAGGGTTGAACCAGATCATTAATTCAGGATTTAGTTGTTTATCAAGTACCTTGTGAGCACCAGATCAACCTCACACCACAGCTTTTGCAAATAAAATTTCCACAACGTAAAGGAAACGGGTCCATTTCCAAACTTACCAGTCCAAAGAGCATTTCATAGAGGACAGCTCCTAGGCACCACCAGTCTACTGTCCTGTCATAGGGCTGCTTCTTTAGCACCTCAGGAGCCAGGTACTGAGAAGTCAGAAGGAAATATTAGAGTCAGATTATAAAGGAAGGGCTTTGCCCAAACCTTTATACAAACAGTCCCAAACCTGTCTGCAGCTCAACTTGAGCAAATGCATTAAGAATAACACAGATGCTTTTCGTAGTATTATCTAATAAATTCTTCACTTGCTTTGGAGCAATGGGGTTGAGAGACACCTACCAGAGCCCTCAGTGTCCTTCCAAGCTACGGGAGGTTCTCTTCCTCAAGAGGACTTCTACAAGCATTTGCTGCCTGCCACAATTCAGCCAGCAATCCTGTCCCACTATGACATATCACACCTCTAAAAGCTCCTGTGCAGTTTTCAGCCCCGGTAAGTCTGTCCAAAGCAGCAAAGCTACCAAGAGCCACCATCAAGGAGCAACAGGCAAGAATTTGAGCAGGCTGCAGAACAGTTTCCCACAGAATTACCTCTGTGTACTATCAGGCTGTAACTAGAATGAGAAAGCACCAACACACACCAAAACTAGACAACAAAGCTCAAACACTCCTGCTTGCTTCATGCTGTGCTATTGCATAAGTGACACCTCACTGAAAAAGGAGGGGAATTCCTGCCCACTTCTGCTGAGCTTGAATGCTGAAAGATGTTGTATTTACAGACCATTTGTCAGGCTGCCTGGGGAAAGCAGTGGGACAGGGATATTACCTAGGCTGAAGTGCTACCAAAATCCCCAGGCTCAGTAAGAAGCTAGCAAAAAAGCCTCCAAGAAGCCAGACTGGAAATAGGTTTTCCCAAAACCCAGCTGGAGTACATTGGAGGAAAGGCATTTCCTCCCCTCTGAGTGGTGTTCACATTCCAGAGGAGAGCCTGGTCCCCTCCTCTGTGCAGGGCATTCTGCAGCTCCTGCATGCACCAAGGACACACAGGAGAGCACAGCAAGGTCCTGTGCATGCCAGTACCAGCAGGCTCCTTGTTCTGCACCTCTGGGGTCTCAGAGCAGGCAAACATCCTGCTCCCAGGGACAAGGTTGTCTCCACCTCCACAGCTATTTTCACAAGCTTGGCCATTTCCAAGTGCAGGATCCCCTGGATCAAGGTCATTAATACTCCAGAATTACTGTGTTGTTACAGGTAAAGCTGTCTGCTGGATAGAGAAGGCCTTATCTGAATTCCAGCTTCAGGCTGACAACCTCAGAGAGCCTATAACTTTTTGAGGTGTCACATAAGCCCAAGACCCAGAGAACCATGTATCTGAAGGTTTCCAGCCCTCAGGTCAGAGCAAATCCCCAGCACATGCAGTACCTCAGGAGTGCCACAAAAGGTAGAAGTTGTCTCCTCTTGCTCCATTCCTTCTTTGCAGAGTCCAAAGTCTGTCAATACTATGTGTCCCTAAAGCAAAGACAAATTTAACTTGACCCACTCTTTCTGGAGACAAAACAGGATCTCCAAAGATTTTCCTAAGCATTAATTCTCACATGGGTTATGTTCCCCATTGGTGATCTGCTTCCCCTCCCTCCCCTTATGTTCATTCTATAATACAGGGACTGGAGCCTGTAGAAAAAATGAAGTCTAGATTTCTTATTTTTTTTTTTTATCTGTCTGCAGCTAGACAGCCATGAAAGAGATCCAGTACTCCTGTGATTTTCTGCTGCTTTATCCCAGAGCCAATTTACAAAACAGTCACCACCAGAGCTGCAGCAGTGACTGTCTCTTCATCCCTCTGATTCCTGCCCACAGATCAGGTCCCAGCTTCTGGGAATGAGCCAAGGGCCCCAAAACCATGCAGTTCTCCAGAGGGCAAACCCACTCATCCCTCCAGGACCTGCACACAAGTGCAGTGGGGCAGACAGACTAAATCCATGCCATGGTGTCAGCTGTAGTCCAGCTTGCAAGCCCTCTGCTTGTGGTCTTTTTTTTTAAAGCCATCAGAAAGACAGCCCAAGGCGTGAATATACCTGGCAATCCAGGAGGATGTTCTCAGGCTTTAAGTCCCTGCAAGACAAAGTGCTGTTTGAGCACATTTGGCCAGATATTTAGAAAACGTGTATCTGAAACAGCATCAGCTAAGAACAGGGGCTTACAAGGTCTCCCAATCCAGATCATCAAGATCTTCCCAAATTGCAGACTCCCACCAGTATACATACAGGCAAACATAAATAGGCTGCTTTTACACAGGATCAGGTGTTAGCCTGCATTTCCATGCATAAATTGTTACTTGAGAGAGGATTACTTACTTATTGAGCCAGGTTTATTTTATATCTTTAACTCTCAGACAGATCCTGGGAAGGGGGAAGAATGGTTAATTGTCCGTCAGGTCCTCTCTTGCAGGGTAAAGTGCCAGCAGCAGCCTTGTCTGGGGTAGGACATTCCTCAGCTACCCCAGTCCTGCATTTCACTTCCCTGGTGAATCCCTTTCCCTCCCAACTCTGCACCCCCTGTCTGGGCAGGCTTGCTGCCCCTGCCTAACCTGTAGATGATGTTTAGGGAATGCAGATATCCAATGGCACTGGCAACTTCTGCAGTGTAGAATCGGGCCCGGGGCTCACGGAAACAGCGCTCCCTTTGCAGGTGGAAGAAGAGCTACGGGAGGGTGAGAGAGTTGTTCATGCCTTTAAATAAATGAAGGCTAATCTGGAGCAAGGCTGAAAGCCAGCTATATAAGTGAAAAGTGATTTGTAGCAGGTAGCAGATGAACAGCATGAAATAAGCCCAAGCCAAGTGAATTTACACAATCCAAACACCTTTCTAGAAACTGCTTCATTTCTCCTCCTCATCATTCACAAATATTAATTAATTCACAAATGCTCCCATCATCTGCTGACCTGATTAAGCTCCTATTTTACTACAACCCACAGGCAGATTACAGTGGTAGTACAGCCATGAGAAGTGGTACATGCAGAAAGCTGAACATGTAAAGGTCCCCAACATGAACTTGATTTGAGCAAAATATCCTCCTTAACAATATCTCCCAGCCAGTTTCAGCTAGCACAGAAAGACAGCTGAGAAAGGTAAACTTCCACTGGACAGAAAAAGTCTAGAAAGTTGCAATGGCATCACCCCTAAGCACTAGACATGGATTCAGAGCCGGCCCACAAGGGGCTTTCTCTAAAGCTCACCTACACAAGTATTTCCCATATTCTCCATAGCATTTTGAGATGACTCAATATTCCTTTTCTCAGAATTTTTACTTTGGGAGTCATCTGGCTCAGGTCATAGCCAGCAAGATCTTGACTCAATTTACAGGTGAGGTATCCTGCCAGGTATTCCTGGCTGCTTCTTGCCAGCAGTCAGAACAACATTATCACTCAACATCATCATCTTCTGACAAGAAATAGCTTTAAATAAAGCAGCATATTTGTGAAGGACCAAACAGGGATTAAACCAAAGCCTGTAAGTGCACTCACCTCTCCTCCATTTACATAGTCAAGCACAAAGTAAAGCTTCTCCGAGGTCTGGAAGGAGTAGTGGAGTCCCACAAGGAAGGGGTGCTTGACATTTTTCAGGAGCACATTGCGTTCTGCCATGATGTGGTTTTGCTATCAAAAAGCAGACAAGGCATTAAGGTTTCAGGTAAGGATCCAGCCCAGCCTGCCCTAAGAGCTCACTGCTGCTTTCAAAACAGGTGGAAGCTGGGAACCCACAAGGGTCATTTCCAGCCCCAAAAAGAGAACCTCTCCCTCCTAGCTGACCTAATTAATCTCTTCTTTTGTTCTCATGGCACAGGCAAATCCATGTTTAACACGTGAACTCCCTACCTGAATGCCAGGTACCCCCATTGCACTACCCAGAGAGCCCATACACTGACCACAGTTTCCAGAATAGCCCAGGAGAGCACACATACCTCCTTTTTCTTGAGGATGGTTTTCTTATGCAGGACTTTCACTGCATAAAAAGTCCCGTCACACTTGCGTTTGGCCAGGAGAACCTGCAACAGAAGGTCCTGCTCACAGCTGTCTCACCTTGGTCAGTGTTTCCTCATTAGCTCAACACTCTTGTAAGTGATTATTCACAGAAAAGTACTTCAGAGGGACAGGTGCAGGGTTTTAAAGACCAAGCTCCAGCCCTCTCAATTCCCAGCACTTCTTCATTGCCAGAAGAAAAGCACTCAATATCTCCACATATATTTCCTAGACACCCAATAGAAAATCATTTTGGAGCATTTCAGGTCAGTCCCATTTAAAGTGAATCCTGGCTGTCTCCAAGCTTTCTCTGGAGATCTTTTGCTGGAAAAGTTCAAAACTAACTTCAAATCAAGCTCTTAGCATCACCACCCTGAGCATAAAACACCTCACTCCTCAGTCCTTAGAGAGGTTGAAGAACCTTAAAATTAGAATGTACTACTTATAACAGTATTTCAGGATTTATTTAATCTCAGTCCCACTCAGGCCAAACACCTCAGGAGAGGGGCAAGCAAAGGACACAGCCAGAAGCTCCTTCACCAACAATTTTTCATTCCAAGCTGCCTCCAAACAGTTGCAGCCCACCTGCACAAGCCCACTTACTTTTCCAAAGCTTCCTTTGCCAATAACCTTCAGGAAGTCAAAGTCTGTTGGCTTGGCACTGTTGGGCAAGAATAAAACAAGTTAATGTTTCAGGGAGAGAAACATGCAACAGTAACACCACCATCAAAGCAAAGTTCCTGCTTGGAAAAACGAGTGTTTGTGAAAGGGATTAAAGGGCGCTGGCGGGTGACCCTCGCTCCCAGGCAGCTCAGGATTCACACCGTGTGTGTCAGTGCACCCTGCAGAGCATGAGCAGCCCCTCAGCACCCCAAGGGCTGGAGGCAGCAGCAGGGACAGCACATGTAAGGACAAGGACATGCCTTTACAGGGAACACAGCTTGTCCCTGTTTCTAGAGAAGGATAGTCAGGAAGCCAGCAGTGATGAGGAAGACCTTCCCTTACACCTCTCAAAAGAAAAGGGACAAGGGGCTACAGACATGGCCAGGAGAGGATGATTATAACAAGTACCAGCTACAACTTAAGTCTTGGAAGCTGGTGCATTGCTGACACACATGGTGTTAAAGGGCAAGAAATGTAATTTGTCCAGACTCCTGCAGACACCACCCTGTGACACACAGGGACCATCTGCATCCCCTGCCAGCTCTCTTCACACTCCACACCCTACCTGGCTTTGCTGGCAAACTTACTTGGGGTTAGCAGAAGGTCCAAGGTTGATGTTGTCAGTTGGTGTTGAAGGCTAGAGAAGATAACAAGAATTTTAGTTATAAGGACTATACTGTGGGTTGGGTTTTCTCTTTCTCAACACAGTATCCCTCACACAGAGCCATTGATAAAACACCCATCAGATACTTCAGCAAACATTTAAGGTCACTTTATGCCTTGTGCACACCCAGCACCACAGAGCTACAGCCTCCCTCTTTCCAAAGGCAAGGGGCTACATACATACATGCTCTTCCTCCTCTTCCCATTCCCTAGGAATCTTACCCTCCCCAGACTCTGGGAACATCATGCCTTGTCCAAAAGGGCCTCTCTGTTTTTCTCCACCCAGCATCACTCACAGGACAGGGCAGCAGTAAGACTCCCAGCAGGCTAACACAGACTCTCTCTCCTTGTTTTTCATCTAAAGGCACCAGCCCCCTTTGTCCCAAAGGTGAGGATTTGCTTGTTCAGAGCCATGCTCTCACCTGGCTGCTTTTGTCTGGGCTCCGGGAACGATCCATTAAAAACACAACTCGCTCAGCACTTGGAAAAGAAGAAGAAGGCAGTGTTGAATACAAAATCCGAGAGAGATTTCACAACACAGCTTCACAACACTAACTTGGCAGGGAGAAGTGCAAACCCCAGTGTGTGCACCCCTTCCATCACAGGGGAGCTCAGCTGAGCTCCCCAGCACTGCTATCCCCAAAGGATGGGATGCCCACACCCTGGGGGAGGCAGGGAGCAGCATGTGCTGACAGGAGATCAGGGAAACAGGAGTTCTGGGTGAACAAGTATATGCAATATCTAATATTGGCCCCTGACTTGCAATAGCACAGGCTGCACAAGCACATGAGGAACAGCACAGCCCCAGCAGCGACACAGCACCAGGCCAGGTGAAGTCACATCTCTCCTGGCCATGGCCAGACCCCTCTCAAGGCAGATGCAGCCCCCTCCCCACTGCACAGGGAAGCTGCAGCCCAATGAGTATCCTCACAAGGCAGCCAGGAGAGTCCAGCTAGGTTCAACCACCATGGTCCATGGGGCTGGCAGCAGCCAGAGGCTGCTCCCTAGGCCAGGTCAGACAAGGGCAGCTTGGGGTTGTTGGCATTGCAGGGAAGAGGAGCTGCCACGGCAGGCTCAGTGAGCAGAGGCATTAAAGACCTCTTGCCTGCCCAGTGCAGCTTTTGCTGGGGCTAGAGAAGCCAGACTTGAACACTTGTTGTTTCACATCCATCCTGCCTCAGCATCACTGGGGGTGGGTGACCCTTGCCTCAGGGATTCCTCCCTTTGGTTTTAAGGGTTCCCCTACACTCTTTGCAAAAGCCAGAATTAAGAAGATAACACGAACAAAGCATCTCTGCTCCCTTCTCCCCTACCCCAGAGAGCTGAGACTCCCCCTTAGCCCCACCACACTCTCATACACCACATCAAGGCTCTGAAGGCTCTCATCCCCACAGCCACCCTCTGCCTTACCCCTCCCAAAAAGGGAGCCCAAAGACCCCACCAGCCTCCCCACATCTCACCTGTGGGTGCTGCCACTGTCTGCCCCCACACACCACCAGGCACAGACCCCCAGCCATCCCAAAGAAACCCCTCCTGCGCAGCCAGGCTGAGCACGGCAGCAGCGGATACTGGCGGCTGTGTCAGGGACTGCCCACATCTGCCCGGTGCCAGCCAGCTCCATCCACCACCCAGCCAGCACAGGGCCTACTGGGCTGAGCTGTTAAAGGGCTCCCATCCCACTGGGAGGGTTTCATACTCACTACGAGCAGAGCCTGGAGCCAGAGGCCTTGATGGTTTGTTCTATCCTCTCCCGGCCGTGCTTGATGAGTTCTGTGAGGAAAGTTGGAGCACCGAAGCCGATTAGCTGGCAGCGTGATCACAAGTGCACAGAGGCACATTTGTTCTTCACTGACCTTGCTCTTCTCTCCACAGCCACCCTCCTCCCCCTTCCACTCACATACCAAAATAACCAGGAAATTATAGGAACCAGGACATCTTCCCTCCCAGCCTCACCAGGAGCCCTCAATAGCTCACAGGACAGGGATGAGTGCCACAAAACAGACACCCTTTCTGGTGGCCGAGGGGACTCAGGCTAAAGCACCACTGTCAAACCTTCCCAAGGCACCCCTGTGCCCCCAGGGGGGACAAGGAGAGTGTTTACAAGGATGAGGTTGTACTGGGATACGTCACACGCTTGGCACATCCACTGTCCCTTTCATTCAGGACTCTGTGAGTAATTAGGGACGTGAATGAAACCTTTCAGGCCCTGCAGGAGGTAAGCCAGCACACACACATCACAGGAGTGACTTGCCCAAGGACACACAGCCAGTGCCAGAAGCTGGGATTCCCGCCATGGAGCATCCCTGCTGCTCAGCTGTGCAGGCAGTTGCCACCACTCATCATCATCACCTCTCCCTTCACAGAGAGGAAGCCCTGGGCCTGCTCCCTGCTGCACAGGATGAGCCAGAGGGAAGCCCAAGGAGCGCAGCCTGTACAGAGGAGTTCCTTGTTTTGCTTAGGAGTAGACACCAAAATCACTTCAAGAGTCAGCTTCACTCCGCAGTTCTGCCACCAAAGGGAAAGCAAGAATCAAAACATTCACAGAAACATGTGTCTCCCTCTCCATCAAAACAGAAGGGGCTTTACAGACACAAGCAACCTGTCACCCTAGAACAGCTCTTCTCCAGACCAAGGAATGGACAACAACTGCCAGAGCCCATCTCCCTGGGCAAGGATTTTGTAGGACAATGAATTTTGAGGCAAACAAGCCCATAACAGAGTCCTTCCTGCATGGTTCTCTGGATCTGCCAGGCAGAGGGTCCTGAGAGCCCCTGAACTAGCCCCACCAGCAGATCTGGGATTTGGGGGCAGCTCTGATGAACAGCCAAAAAACTGAGCTGTTTAGAGTTTCTGAATGGATAAGAAAGGCAGAGCAGGAATTTAAAGCAAAGCCCACAACCCATGCAGAGGGAGAACTTACAACATCAGGCTGGTCTGGGCCCCTGACCTTGTTCATACTTTACCCTGCAGCAAGTCCAAGATCCTGTCCCAGCTGGCACCCACCAGCAGGGACAGCGCACAGGCAGCACCCAGACAGATCAAGCCCCATCTCCTCCCACTGGGCATAGTCCTTTCCCTGACAGCCTGGCTCTCCCTGGCTCGCTGAGGTCTGCTGAAGGTCATCCCACACCTACCTCAGGGTTGCTGGACAGGCTGGGCAGATACCATGGCCACAGCAGAAGGACATTGCTGCTGCTGTCTCTGAGCAGACAGCACTCACTGAAGGACCCAGGCCTGGGAGGAGGTTGGCACAGGACACACAGGTGTGTGTGGACAAACCCCAAGCTGCATAAGGCAGCAGTAGGGAGAGGAGTGAAGGTTCCCACCCCTGCTCAGGAACCTCTTGCCAGAGGACCCCAGCCTAACACCTCAGTCCTGCTCACTGCCTGCAGCTCCATCAGCTGATACAGCCCATTTCCTCCAAATCTGAAACCCCACAAGCTTGGGTTTGGCCTCAGTTTGCCAGCCCCTGTTCTGATCCCTGACGTGGGGGAAATAATGACTCAGGCACAGATGGAAATATCACAGCTTGGGCATCTTGGAGAGCACACGAGCAAGCCATGGAAACACATCCACATGCCTTGGAGGTATTTACCAGCAGCACGGGATACAGGGCAAGTTCCCAACGAGCTCCAAGGGGCTTGAATAAGCCTGTTTTAGCAACCTGCTGCTAGGCAGGAGCCCCTTCCAGCCTGGCAGCCCATTCTTGCCTCCCTCCACCAGCCCTGTTCTTCCCCACTGCCTCTTTGCTGGAAGTGAAGCCACTCAACAAGTCCCTGTTGACCAAGGGCAGCCTTTCCCAGCACAGCTTTTTCATTAAAAGGACTTGCTCTGAGGTTAAAGTCTCTGGCACTGAAGTACCATACCCATTTTTAGGATGTGTAAAGCCCCATCCCACATCACTTTCTTTTCAGGTTCAGAGCCACCTTCCCCAGCCCAACTCTTCCTTCCAAACCAGGTTGTTTTGTGGTTTAAATCTCACAAGCAGTCAAGCAGGCTTTTCCTTATCACTAACAAACCCTACTCCCCCTAAAGCACCAAGATTTCCTGAGCGCACACACTGAACAACAGAACCAGAACTAGGTCACGAAGATACGCTGGAATCCTTGGTTATCCATGCCCGGCTGCATCCCTCCTTGCGCCTGCTGGTGCAGCACGGATGCTCCAGGCACGGCCACGGCCACAGAGAGCATCAGCAAGCAAGTCTAGGAGTTCCCCAATATAACGTGACTATTACACATCAGGAACACAAACCCCTGCACCCCACTGCCCCCTCCTCAAAGACCATCTCACCCCAACTCCCGGCCACAGGCACCCCCAGGCAGGAAGTACCCGCTCACACAACAGAAAGCTGCTACTTACAAGTTGGAGCAGTTCCTGCAGCTATATCTCCCCCCACCACACATCCCTCAGTAACATACATTTGCTTCCCAGCACAGCACGAGCAGCTCCCCGTTCCTCGCACAGTTCTGGCAGTGGTGACCCACATTCCCATGCTAGCCCAGCGTTATTTGCTACAAACACATTACTAATGCAACGCGTACCTTGCACGGAGACACAACCTCATAGACTCGTCATCCGCGGGCTGCTCCCACCCTCCTCCCTGATGTCACCGCTCTCGGCAGCCCTCCCTGCCTAACCTACATTGCAAACCCCTCTGAGCCAGTCCCTCATCCCCTCCTGCTCCGGGAAGGGCTGGCTGCCAGCGTGGACAGGCCTGGCAGGGCTGGCACTGGGACAGCAGGCGATGCTCTGGAGGAAGAGTTTGGAGGGGCACCTTGGGCAGCCCACAGCTCTCACCCAGCACAGGGGCTGCTCACAGCCTAAGGGGGAGATGCCCCAGTTTCAGCTCAGAGAGGAGCAGGGAGGGAGGTGGGAAGGAGGATTCCTCCAAACACGTGCTTTTACTGGAGAGAGAAAAAAAGGCTCAAGTTTTCCCCTGCTACAGATCTAAGAGATAGCTGCAAGCTAGTACTGAACTCCACTTTCGTTCCCATTGAGACACTACAGCAAGTCCAGGAAGAGGTCAGGAAAGACTTTAAAGCCCTTCTGCATTTCAGGAAGCTTTTTTATCTACCCTCTGGAGAGCTTCTGGCTTGTCCAATTTTTTCCTGCAGACCCTGTTCTCTACACCCTAGGGACACTACAAAACAGAGCAGGAACCCAGCCAAGCAGCCCTGGTTCAGGGCAAGCTGGAGACAGCCAGTCCTGAAAATTTTAGAGAAAAAGCTACATGCAGAACTTAAAGGAAACAGCAGGTGGCTAAAGCTTGAAGCACTTTGCAAAAAAATAATTCCATGAAAACAAGTCATCAAACATACCTGGGAGCACATCTCCCAGAGGCTGAGCCCTGAAGCACGGGAAGCAGTCCACAACTGCCAAGCATGGAGACCTCTCATTCCCCATCCTTCCACCAGCCCACCCTGCCAGGCCAGGAGCCCAATGCTCCTTCCTAAAACCCAGAGGGGAAGAGCTTTGTTTCCTACAGCACCTCATTTAGCCCCTAAACACACCACCCCCAGCTCCTCAGAACAAGTCTACCACCTCTAGTCTCTCACTACAGCACTTTAAAGAGAGCAGGAAAAGCTGACCAGCTGCAAAAGATGAAGAAACATCTGCTAGCTGTATTTTAGAATTTAGGTGGGAGGGGTAGCTTTGGGTGGGAAGGAAGAGGTGCAGGTGGTGGGTAGGAACAAATCACAGCCTGGCAGGCAGCTCAGGTGTTCTGAATTTTTTACAAGTCAGCTGGAAATTTGTCCTCTGTCCAGAGGTTTGGAGGGAGGTCAAAACTGGGACCCTGGAGGGCTGCAGCCAGGGCAGCCAGGCTGGTGCTTTGCAGCACACGGAGAGCCTGGTGATTTGAGAGACCAGAGACTGAGCTCTGAGCAAAAGGAGACCCGGGAGAAGGGCTGATATCTTCTCTCTCTTCATTAAAAATAAAGCAGTCACTTTTTGCTTCTATTGTAGTTTCCTATATAATCTCCCTGCCTGAAGCTGCAGCACCATGAAAGAAGCTTCTAGAGCAATTTCAGTGGTGGATGCAAGGAGGTAAAAGCAGAGCTGTGGGAAGCAGAAGGGCTGGCCACCCTCATGAAGGATGGGTCCTCAGCCTGGACTAGAGCTACCAGAGGGAGATCATCAGGAACATCTCCTTGGTGTCATGTGTAACAAGGGAGGGGAGCTGCATTTTGTTTGTAATATTACCTACTTTCAGGTCAAAACCTGGTTTTTTGCTCAGCCAATATTCTCAAGCTATCAGCATTGACATCTTTTAGAAATAGCTCTTGTTTTTTTTTCTCCAGCTTTGCCTCCACTTGCATTGAAATAGTCAAATTTCAGAAAAATTTCATTAGTTAACTTACATTTTCTAGTCAGTGCTTTCTGCTTTTGTTTCTTTAATGAAAATCTCGGTGTTGTTAACAAAATATACTTGATTTTAATTTCCATGGAAAAAGGTATTTTTAATTAAAAACCTACTTTCCATCAAAAGAGAAAGCAGGAGGATCCTGTAAGGAAAATTGTAACAGCTGAAGTGCATAAAACAGTTAATCTGACGTCATGTAGCGATGGACAAAGTGGTGTTGGGTCAGTTTTGTCCATCCTACCCCCTCTGTGAGGATCACTGACCCTCCAGGGCTGGGTGTGCGAGGCAAAGCTGCCACGTCCCCTCCCAGCCGAGTCCCCTGTGTGTGTCCCACGGGAACCAGGCTCTGCAGCCCAACACTGGCAGGAGACTGGCAGGAAAGCCTTCTCCATGGCCTCAGCATCCCCAGGGCTCAGTGCCACCCAGCAGCATTACCCTTTGTCTTGCCCAGGGCAGTGGAGGAGAGCTCCATCCAGGCCACAAACATAAACCAGCAGAAATAATCTCCTCTCCTTGCAGCTGGGGCAGGAACTCAGCGGCTGGCTCCGGCTGTCCTCGGGAAGCAGCACACACAGATGTTCCTCCGTCTGCAAAGGTGAAGGGCACAGGAGTAAGAGCAGAAACGAGTCCTTGGGTCCAGCACTGGCTGCCAGGCACGGCTCTGGGACATGGGACCAGCTCCTGAACCTCATCTGGGCAGCACCCACCCAGCATCTAGTCTGGTGGAGGTTATTGGGGGTTCTGCCATCACCCCAGTGACAAAGCACTTTGGGACTGCTGGACAGAAGGAATGGAAGAGAGCTGAGAGGTTTAGCTCCTGTAACACAGAAGAAATTTACCCAAAACCTCTTAAATTCATGTAATTCTGCTGTCAGGAAAGGATCTGCAGTTTAGATGCTTTCGAGGAGCTGAAACCAAATTTACCCTGGCTGTACCCAGGGTGACATCCCTGACACCAGTGGCTCCCTGGCACAGGAGAAAACATCCCCTGGAAGCACAGGGACACATGGCCCACCAGTAAATCCCCAGCTTAGGGCAGGTCCTCACTGGAAATTCAACATCAGACTCCACCAGACACCTGGGGCAGCTGCAAAGGGCTTTGCCTGTGGAGCCCTGTGGCCCTCCCTGGAGAGGTGACCGGGGTGAGCAGCTGTCACCACGATGACGTGAGTGGGACAGGTAGGTGTGAGCAGGGTTAGCCTCCTGCCCTCCCCATGTGTAAGAGGTGAGGCTGTGCCCTTGCCCTGTGCTGTGTGCCCACAGTCTCCCCCTGCAGCAGCTCTTGTTCCTCCCCCATCACTGCCCGTGCCCATGGCAGGACACATTAGTGCCATGCTGAAGGGACTTCTGAGTGTCACACACATCACACAGGCACGTGTCCCTGCAGGTGCCACCAGGTAACCATGCCCCCTTACACCAGCACTGGCCTTGGCCCATTCCCCTGCCCAGAACTCACACACTCCTAAACAAAATTAAACAATTCTGGTGAAGCTGGAGAGCTGCTGATGTCAGCGCTGGGTTTTGCCAGCATTGCCGCTCTTCTGTGTCCTCCAGAGAGCACATCTGTGCCAGGAAAACCTCTGGCTGGACCCGAGTTCAAAGGTGAGGAGCAGCTCTCGGGCAACTTAACCCCTTCTGTGCACATCTCCTGCCTGGACCTGGCCAAGCCATGGGGGGAACAAGCTCTGGCCACAGAGAAGGGTGTTTTCAGCTGCACTGGCACAGCTCAGAGCCTCCAGACATTGCCTATACTTGGAAACATGTTTTTCCTCACAGGAGGCAAGCTGCCTTTCTCTTTCCCAAGCCCTGTAAGGGGTCAAGGGCTGTGTGGTCCTTCTGTGGCTGAATTGGATCCCTCCAGGAAGGACCATCCCAGCAAAGCCACATTCAGCTTCACCAGGACAGGACACACCCAGTGGGGACAACAGATCCAGCCCATTTTCTCTGCACATAGAGAAATAACCTCCCTCCCTCTCTGACAACATTTTATATTCTATTTTACAGGGAAAGATAATCCCAATCTCCCTGTCTACCAACATCCATAACCATAATCATAAAAGTATCACTGAAGTGGAACCACACAGTCCTGAGCAACTGGAATTGCAGGGAAGGTCCTGATAAGGCTAAAACAAATACTTCTCTAGAAAGCACAAGGCAAATCCAATCCATGGATCTGCAGTGAAAGGTGACCTAAAATATTTGGCTACTCAGTTATCTCTGCTGACAGATAGGTAGGAGCTAAGATAGGATGGGATAGGGTGGGATAGGGTGGGGTAGGATAGGATATAGGATATAGGATATAGGAGATAGGAGATAGGATAGGATAGGATAGGATAGGATAAGACAGGACAGGACAGGACAGGATAGGATGTTCTTTAAAATCTCAAAGGCTATTTGTTCCTTTTAGGAGGATTCATGAAAGATTAAATAGATTATTGATGATCATTGCAGCTCTTTAGAAGATTTTTTTTTCCCCTCTACATTTTTCTTTCAGCTTCAAAAAACCAGGGCTCTGCCTGAAGCCTTGCCTTTGATTTTGCCAAGGAATCACACATAAGTGCTGGGATATTTCCCCATGTTTTGGAAAAAGGAGACAAGAGGAGACCACTGGGGATCAGGTTTTTATTCCAAAGGACAGCTAAGGAGGGTTTGAGCAACTCTTGCCACTTTTTGTGCCTCTGTTTCTGTAAATGTGAATGTGGCAGAATATTACTGATCTCTTGTAAAGCCTTTACATCTTCTGAGGAACAAATTCCTGAGGTTATTATTGTCATTAAATTAAGTGGCTGGGGCTTTGTTTTCGCTCCCAAGTGCTTTTCAAGTGTAGGCACAGTCTTAGTGAATAAATACCACACCGTTGGAAGCAGCCTGACTGTAAGTGGCCCCTCCTGGCCAGCCTTGTCCTTGTGGAAGGCTCAATTGTCCTGCTTGCTGTCCCCTCTTCTCTTTCCCAGCAGCACTTCAGAACACATTACAGCCTGGGCTTGAGGGCCTTTAAGAAAAAACAAAAAACAACCACAAACCCAAACAACACAAAGCCCAAAACCTGTTTTTTGGTGTGAATACCTCTTTTCCCCTGCAGCACAGGTCATTGTGACACAGGGCCACCACCCCTAGCTCAAGCCCCAGTGTGCCCAGCCTGGTGGGACAAGGACAGAGAGGCAGTTTCCTGGCTGGATTGAGCAGGGTTTAGCAGCTCAGAAGTGGCTCTGGGAGCTGCACTGCCCAAACCCAGGCCCCTCGCTGCTGGCACAGCACTGGCTCCGTCAGGAGGAGCTGGGGGTGCAGTGTCTGTGGGAATGCCTCCCCTCTGCCTGCTCCATCCCTGAGAGCTGCCAGCTCCAGCTCTGCTGCATGGGATCCATGTTCTCAACCCTTTATATCCACGGGAATCAGATGGTGCTGGCACAGCCAGAGGTTGTCTCCAGCAGAGTGGAGACAGTGCAGCCGCACTGGATGCAGCGAGCAGCCCAGTCCAAGCTGGCTCAAGGCATTGCCAGGACCTGTGAGCCCCTGTGCAAGAGCAGCAGAGCTGTCCTGAAACCTGCCAAGCCCAGCTCTGCCCCCTACTCTGGAACTGAGCAGGAACAGCCCTCTCTGTCCTGCCAGAGAGGGGTTTGGGAATGTTCTGTCTGGTTTCTGAGCTTCACCAGGCCTGGCCTCAGAGGCTCTCACAGCCCAGGAGACCACAGCCAACGCAACCTGAAATTTCTGGTGTAAACATCACCCTTCTGCTGCTGGCTGCAAATCCCAGTGGAGCCCCAGGCTCCTTTCCACGTGTGGGTGTCCCAGGAAAATGGGGACAGACATGGGGACACAGCTGGTCTCTGCTGATCTGCCAGATTCTGAAATTACCCAGATCAGGAACACTCACGTGTGCTCCTCACAGGAGCTCACCCGGCTGAGCTGATGAGGGGCTGCAAGGACAAGCAGAGTGATGGAAGTTCCTTTGATGAAAGTTTCCTGGGAGAGGCAGAGCTAATGCCAGAAATTTTCCCAACTGGATTGCAGGGGCAGCAAGGAGGCTGCTCGTTTCCTCTCTGGACTTCTCCAGAGCTGGGAAACAACCCCACTGCTGGAACTCAGCCCCCCTCCACTTCAGCTGCTGGCCCTGGGGAGCAGCTCTTCCACAGGCCAGCCAGGTTCCTGGCAGCAAAGTCCTTCACAAAGCCCTCTGCTGCTCCCAAGGAGCTTCAGGAACTCATTAAAAGAGGGGAAAGTCGCAATCATCCCAGAGAAAGCAAATGGCCATTACCTGAGACAGGGCTCCTGGGATCCGGCAGCAGGGCTGGAGGCACTGCCACACTCTCGCTGTGGGAAGCAGCTCGTACCACTCTCCCTCCTGTTGTTTTTATTTTGGCAATGCAGTCTGAAGGTCGAAGAAAAAGTCCGAAGGAGTGGCTTGTGGCAGGCAGTAAATTATTACCGTGGAGCGCTCCCCGAGGGGACCAAGGCACAGGGAGCTGGGGTGGGAGAGGAAAATCCCTCCTTGGGGGATTAGAGGGCAGCTCGCTGGCAGGGAAGTGCAAAGGGTCAGAACAAAGTGCTCTGTTTGCCAGAGGCTGTGCCGGGTCACATGCCGGGTCCCAGCAGAGGTAATGAGGCATGGGTCACCTCCCAAACTCCAGCAAGACCTCCTGACTGTGGACATGACCTGCTGCCAATCCCCCAGCAACCCACAGACCTTGCCAGACAGGAGGGAGCTGGGTGAGAGGGAGCCTTGCCCTCTGGTAGCACTGAGGGACAAGAAATCCAGGGACTTTTACATGTTTGATCTGGGCAGGTGTGACAGTCCTACAAGCTCCCCTCTGCCTCCTGTGTGCCCCCTGCTCTGTGGATCCTGGGCCACTCATACAGGGGAAGAACCACCTGAGAATCCAAGGAAGATCCAGATGGGCGCATCAGAACTGAACCCAGAGGAGCACTCTCAGAGCCAAAATCTACTTCCCTCCATGCCCTCCCCAAATTTGCTCCATTCCTATCCCTTCCCCTCTGCTGGAACCCAGCACCAGTGGTCACATATCCCTGTGTGGGGGCCCAAACAGGAGTCTGATGGATGAGTGTGTTGGTGGAGTCACAGGTGGAACCTCCAGCTCCTCACCTGAAACACAAGCTCCAAAGATGTACAAAATTAGTTGATGGAGAACATTGCTGCCACTGTCAAAACAAGCATTTTGTGAAATAGCCTGGAATATGTGATATGGAGTATCCAAACTTCACAAGGACAAGATACCCAGCTGCCACCACAGGCAAGGTCTCTGGCTCCGTGTGTGAGGAGGAGGCAGAGCCATACCTGCCCTCTGCACACAGGGAGGAGTGGGCTCAGCCCTCGCCTCATCCAGCTCCCAGCCATGGTCCTGTTGGGTGGCAAAACTGTGTGGATGCACAGATTTGGTATTAGCCTCATGTCTCAGGAAACGACCCCAAATAGAGGTGCCTATTGTGTTTGAGGAACTGTAAAGACACAGAGAGAAATAAATCCATTCCCTGGTAGTGCAGAGAGGGCCTTTGTTTGTCCGGTTTCCAGAGTGAGAAGGTTTAGAGGATTGTTGCAGCACATGACCAGAAGCACAGACAAAAGCCATTTGGAACACAGATCAGACTTTGCCATTCCCTGGCTTTTCAGAAGATTTCTGTTTTGTTCAAGTTAAACCTGCTGCTATTTTGAGGGATTATTTTCCTCCCTCCAGTGCATCCCTCGCTGTCAGGGCTGCACATTTCCCACAGCACGAAGGCTTCCACCGGCACCAGCACAGCATCAAAATGTCTGCAGCAATGGGCTGCGGGGGCTGCCCGTGTTCCAAGCCCAAGACACAAGTGTTGCACCAACAGCCACGGACAAGTTTAGAGGACAAAACCTCTGCCTGTGGCTCGGCTGGCAGAGCCGGCTCGTTTCGCAAGCTGCTCTCAGGTCAGCCGGCAGGAGCACGGAGGGAAGGTCTGAGCAGAGCTGACAGCGAGACAAAGCCCTTTGGGGCTCGCTGGGAAATCGCTGGCCCCGGCACAGCTGGGAAGTGCGGCGGGGCAGAAGCTGCGGTGCCCGGTCGTGCCCGGGAGCCGCGGGGCACCAGCGCCTCCGGGAGCTCCTCCAGCCGGGGCCATCTCCGCTTGGGGAGCTCAGGGATTTGAGGGCACTCTCTGGTCAAGCCTCCCTGTTCTTCACGCTGGGGGATAGAAGAGAGGATCCCTGACCCCACAAATCCCCTTACAGCCCCAAGTACAGCAGGGGCCACTTCTGCTCTCAAGGGAAAGGGGGAAAAAAAATGCTGAATTAAGTTTAAAACCTCTGCAAAATTAAAGCTTTATAAAACGGTTTCTGTCATCATGCACCTTGAACCAGAGAACTTTTGGCCCCAGTAAAGCACGAAGACAAATCTGTGAGCATTCTGTGTCCAGACACAAGCAGCGGGAGAGGGGAGCCAGCTGCCATGCTGCTGCAGCACGGCACAGGATGGCACAGCATGGCACAGCATTGCATGGCTCACCATGGCATGGCATGAGTGCCTTTGCTTCCCTGGAGGGGAACACAGAGACAGAAACTCCCTGAGAGCCCCGTGTGCAAAGCCGATGCAAACCAGAGATGTGCAGTGTATTAACCTGCCCGGCAACCTCAGCTCTCCCCTTATTCCCAGGATCCGAGGGGTTATCTCAGCCCTGCTCAGGGCAGGCACACGGGCTGGATCTCCCCGCACGCTGGCCCCTTATCATGGCCCTGGGGAGAAAGCAGAGCTGGAACAGAGAGCTCAGGGCAGAAATGAGAGCAGCGAGCACCCCTGAAGAGAAGTCCCCCATCCGGGCCGGCTGTCCTCATGGCCGGCGGGTGGATGCAGTGGCTCCGGGCCGGGCACATCCCATGTCCCGGCTCAGGATGGATGCGGCGGCTCGGGCCGGGCACATCCCATGTCCCGGCTCAGGATGGATGCGGTGGCTCCGGGCCGGGCACATCCCATGTCCCGGCTCAGGATGGATGCGGTGGCTCCGGGCCGGGCTCGCCGTCGGGCGAGGGCGCTGCTCCGCCGTGGCGGCTCCGGGCCGGCTGCGGGCGGGGAGAGCACGGGCCGGGGGCCGGATGGAGCTGTCGGTGCCTGCGGCAGGGCGGCAATCACGGGTCACCTGCATCGGGGTGGGAGCAGGGGTGATGAGGGTGAGAGCGGTGAGGATGGAGGTAGGGGTGACGGTGAAGAAGATGGGGATGAGCTTGAGAATAGGGTAGGACGCTGCTGGATATCACTAGGAAGGGCGCCGGCATGCAAGGAAATGTGGTTAATCCGGGGCCAGGCGCCCCTCCACGATGCCCCCCACGCTCAGCCACCCCCGGCGCCACACCACCCTGTCCTCGCACGGCACACACCCCACAGCTCCCTGTTCTTTTCTTTCTGAGGTTGCCCAGAAAATCGCCCAAAATGCGTTTTTCCCCAGGAAGGGACATCCCCCGCTCCCGCCCGCAGCCCCTTTCCCAGCTTGTGCCAACACCCCCTCCGGCCCCCGGTACCGCATTGCGGAGCTGCCCGCTCCCACCGGCCCGGGCGGGGGACAGGGGGGACATCCCAGCCCCACCGGGCTTTTGGGGGCAATAATAGGAGCCCCACGGGGGTCTCAGCTGTGCTGTGCTGCGGGAGAGCTGCCTGTGGGTCCCCCCATCCTCATCCTCGCTGTGTAGCGGCAGCGGATGGACAATTAGGTGTAGTGTTTTTTTAAATCGAGGTATTTTCTGTCACACGATTGGAGTGTGGGGCTGACCTCCCCCGCGGTGGCGGCTTTGCTAGCAGGGGGGATCAGCCCGACGCTCCACACCCGTGGGCAGGGTTTGGTGAGTTTAGATCAAGCCAGGGATACACTCAGCCCTTTATTTCGTTGATTTCTCTCCCTTTGTTTGTTTGTGAGGGGATTTTTTTTCCCCTCTTTCACAAGAACAAAAAACACGGGGTGCATCGGCAAACTCCCGTCCCTGGAGTCTGAGCACTACGGGAGAAAGCAAAACTGTGAGGAGGGGGTGAAAGCAGCCCCGCCACCCCCAGCTGTAAGACGGCTGCTTCCCAAAAAATGTGTCCTACCTCTCTCAAACAGCTGAATGCCACCTTCTCTGGAAACCCAGCGCTGCCTCCCCTTAGCCCGAGGATGTGTTGTAGCCCCGATACGGGGAGGATGAACCTCCCTCTGCCCCTGCCCTGCTCCTCCAAGCTCCCCACGAACCAGGCCAGCCTCATCATCTATGTTTTCTCTTTATTGTTCGATATATTTATGTACCACATTATATGTTAAAGATAGATTTTTTTTTTTTCTGATATACATTTTTCATCTTATTTACCACAATGACACCACACGTACATTGGAAACAGCTCCACGGATCTGGTAGATTGCACAGAATGAATTGTGTCGTAGTTTTGTTCCTGTAATCCCGAACGACATCAAATCCAACCATATATTATAATATTTTTTTTTTTTTTTTTTTTTAGCTTTTCATAATTTAGAAATAACAATTGTTAAAACGAAATGAAACATAAGTCACCGAGAAGTGGACTCCAGGGCTGTGATTTCGACCAGAGGCAACACATTTGTATTCGATGGGAAGCGCCATTCCTCGGCGTGGATTCGGATGGAAGAATCAGGCAGTCCTGACATCTACGTGACCACGGCGTAAACATTGCAGCTAAGCGGCATCACCGGTCGTCAGACGCTGCTTGGGCTTGTTGGGCTGGTCGTACAATCTGGGTCTCATCTACATCCATCTCTCAAAGGGTTAAAACAAAGCTCCCTGCTCCCAGCGCCCACTGCGGGTTTCCTTCCTGTCTGTGAGCACAACGACCCAATCCCATGGGATCGGCACCTGTGTTTCAGCTCCTGAAACACGGAATTGCATATCTGTGAGGAGTGTTGAAAACTGTGACTGTTTCCCAACAGGCCGTTTGTGGGGGGCCAAGCTTCAGGCAACGAGTGAGGAGATAGGGGTGGGGCACCAGATAATTTCCTTCAAAAAAATCTAAATAACAAAAAAATAGATTTAAATCTGAGCTTATTTAAAAAGACACCAGGGCGAGCACTTTCATCTCTTCTTACTTTCCTTAGTTTGCAGATTCTATAACATAGAATTTGTTGGATGCACGTAACGAAAATAATGACTCTTTCCATTAAAGGGATGCAGAATTATTTGGCTATGCGGATGTTCGATGCGATTCTTTTCCTGCACCCAACTCTGGCCCCTCCTTAGTCTTCAGCATTGGTTCTGAAAGCCTCTATGAGGCCTTCTAAAGAGTGGATGAACCCAGAGATGCTGCAGATACCACCTATAACGAAAATGGCAACATCAAAGAAGACATGGTGCCACAAGAGCTTCCTCCACAAGAGTTTGAGGTGGAAGAGACTGGGGAGCAGGAAACAGAGCCCTGCACCTGTGAGGCTCCCAGTAAGACCCATCAAGAGGGCAAAATGGGGGACATAAATAGCCATGAGCAGGGTGAAAACTACCAGGGCACATCTGAGGGTGAGCCCCCAGGATT